TAGTGGACAAGGAAAGAGCGTGTATTTTCTTTGGAAAATTATCCACCCTTTTCTAAATCATGGACTCTGGCTGCATGTCCTTTAATGAAACATTTCTAAACCTGACCAAACTGCCAGAAAGAAATTTGTAATAAAAGGTTGCCTTTTGTATCACTTCCCATTTTTACCTCATTACTATGACAAAAAGTGTGTTAGTGTCTGAACATTTCATCAGTTCTGAGAACTGTAGCTGCAGGCAGTTCATAAATGGAAGTTGGTGAGTGGTTGGATTCCTTATTTGCATGTGTACCACACCGACAATTGTTTGATGTGCATTGCTTTTGCACACTTCACACTCAAATCTTCTACATGGTGTACCAGGTGGAGCTGGGAGAGCTTGGTTGGTGGTAGTGGAAGGAGTTTTTTTAAAATGGGGTGAGACTAGTACAACCTCCGCGGAAAGTAATATGGAGATACCTCAAAGAACTACAAGTAGAACTACCATTTGATCCAGCAATCCCATTACTGGGCGTCTACCCAAAGGAACAAAAGACATCTGCACTTAAATGTTTATAGCAGCACAATTCACAATTGCAAGGATGTGGAAACAACCTAAGTGCCCATAAATATATTAGTGGATTAATAAAATGTGGTATATATATACCATGGAGTTCTACTCAGCCACACAAAAAAATGGTGATATAGCACCTCTTGTATTATCCTGGATAGAGCTGGAGTCCATTCTGCTAAGTGAAGTATCACAAGAATGGAAAAACAAGCACCACATATACTCACCATCAAATTGGTATTAACTGATCAACACTTAAGTGCACATATAGTAGTAACATTACTCGGGTGTCAGGCAGATGGGAGCGGGGAGAGGGATGGGCACATACACACCTAATGGGTGTGGCGTGCACTGTCTTGGGGAGGGACACGCTTGAATCTCTGACTTGGGTGACGCAAAGGCAATATATGTAACCTAAATATTTTTACTCCTGTAATGTGCTGAAATAAATAAAAAAATAAATAAAATGCGGTGAGAGCTGATTTGGGGTTCCTTGTATAAACAAGTAAAAATCTAAAACACTGCAAAATATTAAATTATTCTAAGATAACATCTTACGTATCTTCTTCTGGAGTCATTGGTAGTTATATTCTGCCTTTCAAAATTCATTCTAGGGCTGCACTGAGTGAATTATTTCCCTGTATGAATTGGATAGCAGAATCATTGTCTAATCACCTATTTGAAATGTTTGTGTGGGGAAAAATTTTGATCTTTCATGAGGAAACTGACCTGTGCAAATCATGGTGGCAACTCCAAATGATTAATTTTTTTTCTCCTATGTCATAACTCTAATGAAACAGGCCGCAAGGACCTGCACAACTATCTCTTAACATGAGACATTTCCTTTGCTTGGCAAAGATTTTTCTGTAGGATGGCAGACAATCACCTTGACATCTACACTGTCTCCCATGTGAGACAGGCTTTGCGGACTGCTGCCAAGGCCTACTTAAAATAATAAACACACATATATCCAATCACAAGCTTTGGTATTAGCTGTCCTGAAGGCCCAGAAGGGAGTATTCACATCAACTTATAGGTAGTGAATGGGCCTGTAGCCAGCACAACACCTCGGATACATCCCAAGCGATTGCGGATGGGATCTCAGGACACGGGTGTGGTTCCTCCATATCTTCTGTTCCTTGATCTCAAACTCACGGCACCTCCCTAGTTTTTATACGGACTGTCATATCAGCAAAGTTTGCAAGGGCTGATGCCAACCTTAACTGTGGCCAATCTCTAAAGCTCCCCTTCTATTGTTTGCATACACAAAGAGTGCAATGCTCACCACCTGAAGGATGGACATATTTGAAACTCGGACTTGGCGGGGGGAAGGGCAACATATGTAACCTAAACATCTGTACCCCCATAACATGCTGAAATAAAAAAAAAATAATTAACTTCACTAGCACCCTGTACACTTAAATTTGAATGATGAAAAGACTGCACGGCCGCCTCCCAGATCAACACTTTGGACAGGATCTGGGGCAGGTAGCAGCACTTCAATTATTCTAAAACAATATCTTACACATCCTCTTCCAGTGTCTTTGTTATTTATATTCTGTGGTTCAGGAACCATTTTGAGCACCAGAGACAAAATCAACCCCCACAAAAAATACTGACCAGAGTTACCTGGGACAGACACAAAATCCACACGTCCCCTACAGAGCAATGTCCTTCACTTCTCGTACAGTCCGGGAAAGTTCACTGTTGGACCACAGGTGACTGAGAATTATGTCAGAGGGGGAGTTCTGAGCAGCTGGGATCTTCACCATGGTGGAGGAGATGGGATTGATATGTTGGCAATAAATCTCCCATCACTGAAGAAACAAGTGATCAGTTCTGCTATTTTTCTTTGACAAACCCTCAGAAGGGGAAAAAAAACATCTACCCTAGTAAAAGGACTTCCTAAATGCTAGAATTGGACTAATCACTTTGAGAGAATTGGCCAAGTGGACTCACGTTTTAGGTAGATATCAACCTACTGTTTATCTTGGTGTTGAGAAGAATTTTTGTTTGTTTCATAGAATCTATTTTCCTTCCTCCTCCCTCCCTCTGCCCCCCACCATTCAATAATCAGACTACAATTCCTGGCTGAGCCTTTGGTGCACCCCAAAGTCACCACAGGAAATACAAAGCCATGATCCTCAAAGGGATTACATCCAGACAGAAAAGGAAAAACCCCGGAGATGATTGCATTCTGGGGCATCCAAAAACAATTTCCCATAGTGGAAGGGTTAAGCTTTATAACCAAGTAGAATTTGAACAGGCATTTAATCTATCTATATTTTAATGTTTGGCTGGTTACATTGTAATTTATGTGGTTACATGTTTCACCTCCTGCAAAAGTGACCCTCAAACTTTGTGAGCACTAGAGTCATCTGGGAAATGTGTCAGAAGTGCAGTTTGGGGTGCTTTCGAGAGAGAGTCACACATGGTGCCTTCTCACTTTTAGAACTGAGGTCTGAGCCTTTCCTTGGGTCATATCCTCTTTAGAAGATAGTCAGGTAAAGTTTGTAAATAGTAACAATTTTTCCTCTATGGACATTCAGAAATACTCATTTTTCTCCACCTACAACAAATGGATTGGAAATCTAACCAGGATTCAGATAAAGATCCTGACTCAGGGTTGGCCGTCTCGGGCAGCTGGCATGGGGTTGGGGACAGCTCTCTGGATGGGTTGCTCCTGAGGACAAGAGGAGATGGGATAACCGTGAACAGCTGGGACGGGACCAGGGGAATTTGGCAGGGCCAACATAAGTTGGGAAGGTAGATACCAGAGTCTCTGTGGGGTTTGAGTCCTGATGCTGCCACATCCCAGCCTTGTGAACCTGCCCAAGTCCCTTAGCACCTCTGGATGTCAGCTCTTGAGCTGACTGGATCTCAGTGCTGCTTATCTGCAATTGGTATTAATATGAGCAACATTTACTCAAAAGGGTTGTCATACATATTAAATTATCTAACACCTATGAAACTTGGTAGAATGAAAGTCAATTTTGTGTACTTAATCTTAACATTTTCAAATATTCCATTTCATTGTTTATATTGTCTTATTAAAATGTTTTATACGGCATATAATACATCTATTGCATTTTTAATAGTTAAAAATTTCTTTTTTAAATTTTAAAATGAAAAAAAAAAGGAGTGCAACTTTTTGGGCTTTATCTGGAGAGATTTTGGGCTCAGGAAGGCCAAAATTCCTGGGTTGGGCCTCAGGAATCTGCATTTTGGAAACACCGCTGGTGACTGTAACATAGATGATGCCTGAGCTACCTTTTGAAAAACAATGCATATACTCTGAATTTCTCATCACAAACAGAAATATTCTATATATCCTCAGCAGCTGGTACAGAGCACGACACATTATAGGTGCTCAGCAAACATGTGATGAATGAATGAATGAAGACACGCTCAGTTGAATGAAAAGGAAGACTAATCCTGTGTCAGTGATTTTCAACCTCAATACTTTTGACATGTTGGACAAATCATTCTTTGTTGTGGGAGTTGCCCCTGAGCATGGCAGGATGTTTAGGAGCATCCTTGATCTCCACCTGCCAGTAGCACCTCCTCTGCTTATGATGACCAAAAATGTCACCAGAGATTACCGAATGTGCCCTGAGAGCCAAGCCATCCCCAGTTTGAACCCCTGTCATAGATGAGTGCAGAGGCATAAGGGCAGACTCCTAGCACAGTGTGTGGCATGGAACAAGCATTAAATAAACATTTGTATGACCACTTAAAGCACAGGCATTGTTTACAACCATTTTGGATGTTGACTTTTAACAATGACCTTCAGATGAACCAGGGGAATCTCAGACTAGATGGAGCCTTCCAACAGAAAGGGTTATTTGATGGCTCTGCAGACCTTCTTGTAAGGTTAGATAATTATTTTCTTCTTCAGAATGGTTATCTAAGTATGGTCATAAGAAGAAAATTAATTTGATTTTAAGCATTGCTAGTCGATGTCTGGCCCTTAAATAAATTTATGTGTTATAATTTATCAGTGTGATTCCCATTAAGTCAGTGGGGAGTCAATGAATAAATCCATACACAAGACTTGAAAATGTAACCTTGGATATGATCCACTTGTTATATTCCTAAGAATTAGAATCATGGCCTGTATATGGACACATTTCTCCTCTTCCTCCCCATGAAAAGTTTAAAGCCATACACACTTAGCAAAAAAAGTTCCTTTGTCAAGGAACTCACTTTGTCAAGAAAGCAAATGGAAAAAAGAAATAAAGGTTATTGTCGCAAACATCCTCTCCACTTCATTGCTTTAATGTGTGGCCACTCCTATAGCTTTGACCACACAATTGAGTTTTTCTGGGGTCTGGGCAACTGAGGCTGTGGTGCGAACTAGACGTAGATGACTGTCCTGCAGGCTGTCCTGCATCACAGGAAAAGGTGAGGATTGCATCCTCATAGAGCTGCTCATGGATATGTGTCCTTTCAGATTGAATTCTGCCTTTTACCTGGGGTTCAGCAAAATGAATTGGGAACTTTAGTAAGACAGGTACAATGGAAGAAATACTCAATAGGGAATCTCACCTGCATTCTGCCTAAATCCTACCACGTCAGCAGCTACCGCTGTGGTAGCGACGGTGAAGGCAACAGCAATGGTGAAGGTGACATCAACAGCAGCTACACCGCCACAAATGACACTTGTTTCTACTACAAGAACAGCCACTACCACTACACACTTCCCTGCAACTGCTATTGCTACACAATCACAACTATCATTGCTAGTGCACAACCACAATAGCCTCAATCATAACTCTACTACTATTTCTGCTGCTACTCTCCCACTATTTCTGGAAAATGACAGCATTGAGAACTTACTATATTTCACAGATTTCACAACAATCCTCTGAGGTAGGTATCATAACCCTATTTTTCAAAACTGAGGCTTAGACTTTGAGTCACGTGCTCATTGAATGCAGTATTTGGGTGCTAGGAGTCCACTCAAGGTGTGACTCTGGGTGTCCAGTTCAGTATGTGCTGCTCTGCACTGTCTCCCATGTGGCTGTTCGACCTTTGGGCAGGCAACTTCACCTTCCGGAACTTGGCCATCCTGCTTATAGAATGCAGAAGATGGAGTAGATGGCGTATAAGCAGGCCTCTCTGTCCCCTCTCCGATGGACTGCATCACTGTATTATATGAACTCAGAGCAACATGGCATCACATAGTGACATGTAACTGAATGGTCAGATGTATCCTCTGGATTCTCACAGGGATGGCTGGCTAGAGCTGTGGCTCCAGCCAACAGGCAATAATAGAATTTGTCCTCTTCTGGCCAACAGGACAACACTGAGAACCAGATCCCCAGGGTCCACGCCAAGGCTGGCCATGAAATAGAACATTTTTATTTGAACTTTGCCTTTCTTTGAGATTCAAAAAACGATGACTATGGAAACCCCATAAATTAGACAACCTTCAAAAGCATGTTAACCCAAGATAAAAAGACTGAAGGAGGGTTGGGAAGTGGGAAGAACAAGTTCAGGCCTGTTTGTAAATAACAGAGTTGTGAGTGGCAACAATGTGCATAATAGTGTTGTTTATACTAGCAAAAAATTGGATGTCACTTAGGGCAGCAGGCAGGGGCTGGCTAAATAAATTATGAAACCTTTCTATAATACGACACATTAAAAATCATCATTAAAAATGATGTGTAATTCTATATTTGACACAGAATGATACCAATTTTATAGCAAATGGCAACATAAATTATTATATAGCACTCCATTTCAAAATAAAATCCTGGATGTGAGGGCGATCTGGCTGTGACATCTGTCACCCCATTGATCGCCAGGGTTGATTCGGCTGATCTGGCTGGCTAGGTGGGTGTCCCCTTCCTCCCTCACCGCTCCCTGTGCGTCCCTCCTGAAGCTGCGTGCTCGGTCAAAGAGGACGACCTTCCCTGATAGAGGAGGATCCGTCTTTGGTCAAGGGTATATGAGTAGCTGTGCTCTCCTGCTAGAACCTCCAAACAAGCTCTCAAAATAAAATCCTTAACATTTCAAACTCTCTATGTGCCAGGAAAATCTTAAAAACATATACACAAATATGTAAATTATAGGTACTTCTTGGCAGCGGGATTACACTCAGTTTTTTTCTTGTCTGTATAAATCTCAAATAATCAGAAAAATAATATAAAGCTATTTCTAATTAGGAAAAATCTAGATGTAGGGGGTTACTAGTATATTCTAGTGATGTGGCCCTTCTTTGAAACCATTTTCTTCTTATCTCAATTTTGCAAATTATCCGTAGATTTAATTTACATGCAACATTAGAAAAATCAGACCTCTTCATTTTTAAAAAACCAAACCTCCTAGCTGATCAGCCACGTTATTTTTCAGCTTTGATTCTGAGCAACTGGTGGTTTCTTGTTAAAGTCAAATCCTCCCAGGAGATGGGCTAATAACTGACAGGTGCAAACGGACGCCCCACAAGTTCTGACAGCAACTCGTTTGAACATCACCAAGATAAGTGCCGAAATTCAAAGACAAGTACTTTGAAGGACACCATGCCTATTTGGATATATACATTCTAAGGTGTGAGATAAGAAAAGTACTTTTTAGAAAAGCACATAAGTGAACACACACAAAGATACAGTCGGCCCCCTTTTTAGCATAAGTTTTATGTAATTTTCAGATGACGTCCTTTCGATCTCTAGTCTTGCCTCTCAGACCCAGTTAGGTTTGTGGATCTATTTTCCTCCATCACTTTTCACTTTTCTCTTTGAACACAATGCATTCTGGGCTCATTTTTTTTTTTCTTAGAGGCCTAGAGGTAGTTTAATTGGATGAGTCAACAAATGAGCTTAATTGATCCTGTTGGGGCTTCATTTATGCAAGGATGGTGAGGAGCTGCTGGCTCAGCCCTCTTCTGAAAATGATAGCTTTGGAAAAGTGTATTTCCATCTGATTTTATTTGCTGAAGAGACACTCACTCATATATTAACCAACATACGCTCATCACTAGATTCCAAGCATCTCCACTTTAAAACACGTTTCCCCAATTCTGCTGGTAAAACACACGTTTCCCCAACCCTACTTGGTGACTTGCAGTAGCTGTTCTCCAAAGAGATTCGATGGCTTTCAAATACCTTCGTATAGCCGTCCCCCCTTCCCAGAACCCCACCCCTCGAAAATCCTGATGGGGTGAAGGTGAGAAGGAAAAGACCTATTCACCAGAGGACTACGAACTTGCCCGAGGTTAATATCAGACTTAGGTCGGGCAGTAGAGCCTGACATTTTTCTCAGGTGCCTCCCAATTCTCCCAGCCTGGGTTTGTCCTCTCCAGCATTCTCTTAGGCTGCCAAGACTCAGCGAGTTCAGGACCCTTTCTTGGTCTTGTCCTGAACACATCCTCAAAACAACGTCCAGTGCTGGAGACTTCGACCTGCCTGCCTCCCTTCCAACATACCCAGAAGAAAATGCTTTGATCCTTTTTTCAGTCTTCGACCCATCTTTTGGTATTCAGCTGAGGTGCTTGGCATTATTAACCCACCAGTTCACTCTCCCAGATACCTCCTGACACCTCCTCCCTTCTCAAAATGTCAACATCTCTTTCTGCTCATCACTCTTAGCTGGCGACGGCGCTGTTTCCTTCTCTGAGTTAAAGCAATACCAGGGAACTTCCACAAACCCCCTTCTCCACATTCACTCACCTTTCAGCATCTGTGACCATAAACTCTGTCTTCCTTCTGGTCCCTGGAGGTGAACTGTCCACTTTCCTCTCCAAAGGCAACACCTTCCATTGTGCGTTGTACACGAGAACCCACCCTCTCTCTCTGGCTCCAAAATACGGCTCCTTAAATTCACTCCCCTCCCCCCACATCATCAGTTCTGCCTTCTCTGCTAGATTGCTCCCAGCTGTGTAAAACCTCTCTCTCTCTCTCTCTCTCTGTCTCTCTCTGTTTCTCTCTTTCTCTCTCTCTCTCTCTCCCCTTCCCCCTTTCTCTCTCTTTCTACCACCTTAAAAGAGTCTTCCTTGCTTCCTTTGCTCCCTCCAGCTCCATCTTCATTTTTCTTTGAGTGAATCTCCTCTAAGAGTTGTCTATGCTAATGGTCTCTGCTTTTCCCCTGAACTTATTCAACCAGTTTTTCCAGGCTTTCATCCAAACCACTCCCCTGAAACTACTCTCAGCAGTCACCAATGAATCCCTCATTGCCAATTCCAAATAGCCTCTTAACTAGTCTCTCTTTTCCCATCGTTGCCTCCCATACAGTACTCTAAATACAGCAACTAGACAACAAATCATGTCATGTCTCTGCTCAAAACCCTTTCCTTACCATATGAACTTTATACAAGATCCTACATGATATGGCCCCCATTACCTTTTGGCTTTCATCCCATCCTACTCATCCCCTTGTTCAGCCTTGTCATCTTCTTGCTACTCCTTGAATAAGTCAGGCGCACACCTACCTCAGGGCCTTTGCACTGGCTGCTCTCCCTCTCTCTCTCTGACATGCTCTTCTCCCAGTTATGTACACAGCACACTTCCTCAAAACCTCCAAGTACCTGCACAGATGTGACTTCCTCATCAAGGTTAACCCTGTCCACACTATTTACAAATGTACTTTATCCCTACTTTTGGCACACCCCTCCCCATAATGAGGTTTGATTTTTTTCTCATATCTCTTATCACATTTTATTATTTTTTTATAGATATGCATACATACACACATTTATTATGTTTATTGCCTGCCTCCTCCTCTAGTATGAAAGTTCCTTAAAGGAAGTGATTTTTGTGTACCAGATTTTAGAACAATTCTTGTCATAGTACACACTGAGTAAATACATCTTGAATAAAGGAACAAGTGGCAAAATGACCAATAGTACTCTATGAAACTTGGTCTCAAAAGACTTATAAGAAATGCAGAGTCTTTGGCTTCACACATGAATTGTTAATGACAGTCTCTGGAGGCGGGCCCTGAGCATCTAGCTGATTCTTACGCACAATGATTCCTTGGAGTGGTGGTTCTAAGAGGGTTAAGGAACCAGGGCTACAGAATACGATGGTTATTTGGCAGTAAGCCAGCAAGAGGTAAGCCTCTCAAATAATTGACCAGGCTAATGGTTTTGAAACAGGGTCGATATTTGGCAGGTGACATTTGGCAATGTCTAGAGACATTTTTGGTTGTCCAAAGTTGGGCGGGGGGTGGAAGTGGGAAGGGTGTGCTACTGGCATCTGGTGGTAGAGGCCAGTGATGGTACTAGATATCCTACAATGTATAGGACAGCTCCCAGTAATAAAGAATTATCTATCCCGAAATGTCAATAGTGGTGAGGTTGAGAAACCTTGGACTAGGCTAGTTTCATGTCCTGGGCCCTTCATCTGGACGGCTTCTGATCCCCAGCTGCAAACAAGAAGCTTGGCAAAGATTTACAGAGGGAGACCAAAAGGTAACAAGGCAAAGAGAATGTTGCTTTAGGGGTAATTACACTGACTTCCAGCCTCGGGCCTGCTTTTAATTCTATGATCTTGGTTATATCACTTATTCATTCTATTTGGACTGTTATGAACTGAATTGTGTCCCCCAAAATGCATATGTTGAAGCCCTAATCTCCACTGTGACTGTATTTGGAGATAGGGCCTTGAACGAGGTAATTAAGGTTAAATGAGGTCATAAGGGTGGGGCCCTATCCGATAGGGCTGTCGTCCTTGTAAGAAAGAGGAAGAGACCTGGGGAATGTGTGCACACACAGAGAAGAGGCCACGTGAGGATACCGTGAGAAGGTGGCCATTTGCAAGCCAG